TCCAGGACAGGATATAATTATAATGCTGGCTTTGTTTTACCAATTCATTTCACTAGTGGGCCCCCCCAATTTTTCTACAGAGCCCCACTTATCATCTCATTGAACTGGCAGTCCGTGGAACCAGTTTGGGAAGTTCTATTTGTGCAGACATCATGGATAACAGCACAGGAAAGCCTGACAGGGACCCTTCCTCGGAGGGCCTCGCTGCTGCGTTTGGGAGGTCTCTAACTGTAGCACCAGGGAGCTAGGGAAGGCTTCCGGACAGGGAGCAGTTGTTTGAGAAGATGGGTCTGGCAGGAGAGGAACGCATCAGACCCAGGACAATCAAAGGGAACGACTGTGCGGTCCAGCTGGGAGGTCATGAGGGTCCAAACCCCAGGAAACCCTCTCTCGATCCTTTTCCATTACTCCAGTTTCTTGTCACCAACACTCTGAGGCCCTCATCCATTTCCAGAGATTGTTCAAACACCCACGGCCATGGCTGCGAGGGGGGAAGGGGGCAGTCAGCGAACGCTTGTTGGGAGGCCGGCAGAGAACCTGTGGAAACAAATCTGATCGTATCACTACTTTAAAACCCTTCAGGGGCGCCTGGGCGGCGCAGTCGGTTAAGCGTCCGACTTCGGCTCAGGTCATGATCTCGCGGCCCGTGAGTTCGAGCCCCACGTCAGGCTCTGTGCTGACAGCTCAGAGCCTGGAGCCTGTTTCAGATTCTGTGTCTCCCTCTCTCTCTGCCCCTCCCCTGTTCATGCTCTGTCTCTCTCTGTCTCAAAAATAAATAAACGTTAAAAAAAAATTTTTTTTTAAATAAAATCCTTCAATGGCTCCTCATCTTTCTTAATGGCCAAAAGAAAATATTGCCCCTGGCCCACACGGGCCTTTCCGCCTCTCCTCCACACCCCAGACTGTGCCCACCTTTGGCCACAAATTCCGGTGGGACAGCCTTCCCGGACGCTTCCCTTGACTGTCGGCCCTGTGAGGTCAGAAACACGTCTGTTTTTACTCCTCCCAGTGACCGGCACATAGTAGGAGCTCCAGAAACTCTGTCAAGCGAGTGCACGGATGGGCAGCTTATCCTCTGGAACAGATGGGGGGGGGGGTGTTGGGATACCTTCTAGCAGATTCAAGCGACTTCCAGACCAATCCCCCAATACCAAGATTAACACGCTGTAAAACAAAACCTCTCCGGTGCCTACACAACTCTTTCTATTTGCCTTTGTAGCTCACGTGACGTCTCATGTTTCTGTGAGTCAGAACCTCCAAGCTGGCAAGGATTCCATTTGTCATTTCTCCGCAGGCAGAAACCCAAACACCGCAATCTCTGATTGCTTTATCCCTCTTCCTATTCACAGATCGCCCCTCGGGAGGCATCACGTCTTGATTTCCCTTCCTGGCTGCTAACACCTGTCGAATTATGAAACGGCACGCATTTCTTTTCTCAATTCTTACCTCTCCTTGACCAAAATTTCAGGGGGGGATTTCAATCAGGAGAGTCAGGGCAGATACCTGCCCCTCCCGCCCCCACTTGCGTCTCCCGAGGAACCTTCCTTATTGAGCTGCTTATGTAGGTTAAACCACACCATTTGTTTTCTGCGTTTCAGAAGAATATTCGAGATCCTCAGAGTCTTCCGGATTTAGCCCACACTAGATTTTTCTTCTCATCTCTCATACTGTCAACGAACGGGCGGTTCAGGCTGCCCCGAGTTGTGATGAGCTTCAGTGTCTAGAATCAAAGATTATTTCATTGTTGCTACCGTTGCCCACTGACCAAACTCTTTTCACAACTTCAGGCGGTGGCCTGTGCTGCTTGCCTCTTGCTCGGGCCAGCCAATCCGAGGTTTCAAATTGAGTAGGGCTCTTAGACACTGATTCAGATTTTAAGGGGTGGGGGGGGGGGCCGGGTGACATTGGGGCTTTATTTTGCCACGACGTCAGTTCTGTTACTACCACTCTTTCTAAGATACATTTGTGGAGACCAATGAATGCTTTGAGTCTCCTTCTGGAAGAAACCTTTTCTTCATTAAAAAATGCCAGATAAGGGGCTCCTGGGTGGCTCAGTCAGGTAGGCGTCTGACTCAGCTCAGGTCATGATCTCGCGGTCCGGGAGTTCGAGCCCCGCGTCGGGCTCTGGGCTGATGGCTCGGAGCCTGGAGCCTGTTTCCGATTCTGTGTCTCCCTCTCTCTCTGCCCCTCCCCCGTTCATGCTCTGTCTCTCTCTGTCCCAAAAATAAATAAACGTTGAAAAAAAAAATTTAGAAATAAATAAACATTAAAAAAAAAATTTTTTTTTAATGCCAGATAAGCCCCAGGGCATTAAGGTTTTTGCACACAGATCTGACCACCCTGCCGGGCCTAGAAACATTTCTCTGCAGTGCTTCCAGAAGGCGTCCTGCCCTGATGATTCAGCCCCAGGCACACCCAGGATTCCTCACACCGCACCTCTTACAGCTAGAAAATATTTCTCTGCATCCCTAGGCTAGCGCTTAATCCAGAAGAGTGGGTCACAGAACACTTTCAGCCAGCTGAGCCGTTCTTAGGCGTGGTTTGTGAAGCTTTGTGTTGAGAACGGTCTAAAATGAATGACCGATGTGGCCCCCCTCTGTTTTCCCTTTGTCTCCAGAAACCCCCAGAATGTTCTCCGAGATGCCAGAAGATAAATTAAAAGCCCCACTCATTTATGTGTGCTGCCCAGCCGTGGTCCGTCAACATCAGCACCTATCTTTGGACATTGCCCAGATAAGTTATATTTGATCTAGGGACCTATCGGTGAATTGTAGGTTATATCTAATTACACTCGTGAGCCAGGGTAAGTCAGGAACAAACCTTTCTATTTCACTCCAAAATACCGTGAAACCCCTTCAGGGAGTCTCATGATTATACTGTAGGGGTTTGTATGAACCAACGAGGGTAAATAATTAGACTATATTGTTAATTAATATTGCAGTGCCTTCTAGCACAAAGATATTTAAGATTATGATGGTATTGAAGTGGAGAAACTCTTGCTGTTGATGAAGCCAGGAGGAACAAAGAAAGTTTTGTCAGACTGACAAAAATACTCTGCAATTTTGGCAATCTGATTTCAAAAGTTTCGAGCGTGTTTAAAGGAAGTTTTCAATTTAGCGAGTGCTCTGTTTGCCACAATGAATGTTGGTCTTTATTACCAAAAAGAAATCCAGAGAAAATGAAAGGCAGGTACTGTACATTTCTACTTGGCACGACAGCAAAACTTTTTGTAGTCATGTGAACTTTCTGGAAATAATAACAATTAACGCAGATTTCAGAATGGGCACTGTTTCAATTTTTGTTTCATTAAGCTGCGTAAAAATACAGGCTCATGAAAAAGCCAGTTCAATTAAAGCGTGAACTTTTCATGATTTCTAACACATTTTACCTATTTTTAATTGATGGAAGTGTTACCGTATTTTGCCAACCCAAGAATTTTTCACACTTCTTTAATTCAAACCAGCTTGATTTTTGCAATTCAAATAGACAGGTTATTATTTGGCATTAACTGGAAATCAAATAAAGCAATAGTAAAATTTATTAAATAGATCACAATGCACACATTATTTCCTAAAGAAATTTATTGTACACCATCAAAATACAGGAAATCAATTTTTGTTTCACTGTAGCTAATCCTTACAACTCCTTAATGAGGAGGATACTAATATTCTGCAAAGATGATTTGGCAAGGGAGCAAATCCAAGCTTTAAAAAGTTACCTAACTTGCCCAAGGTCATATAGCAAGCGCAAGGTCCGTGATCCTAACACAGGTAATCTGGCCACCTGTCATATCTTCTATAGGCTGAAGATAATAAGTTCCTTGAACAAGGGTTGTATCTTCCTTTTTCTTTTTTTTTTTTTCTGGACATATTAATTTATATGTTTTTTTGTTTGCTTGCTTGTTCTTTTTTCCCCGATGCACTGTTCCTGGGCAAGGCACCTATTAGTAAATCTAGTTAATGGCTTGTTTTCAGCTTTCTATTAAACACAGCTCTCTACAACCTGCAACTCTATACATTTACGGTCAAGCAACACTTAATGTTAATTACGGTGACCCCTAAGACATGGCTAGAGTCATCTGAAGCATCACAGAAAGGTAAAGTTATGTCCACGTGTATCTTGAGCTACAGATTAGTTTCTCCAACTATTGAATGAGTTGATCAACGCTGTTGGTCTCATAGACACCACAATGATATCACAGCCCAAAATGAATCAACTTTTTCACCTTCTACTCAAAATCTCTCTTCGCCCGAGCTTCCCAACTAGACGCCAGGGAGTCACCCTCAAGTACTTTTTTTTGGTCATTCTACCCGCTAATTGTCTTTCGGTTTCATTCCCTCCTTTACGTCTTCAGTGCCTTGATTCTGACACTTATGTTCTTCTGCCCAGAAGATTTTTAACAACTTGGTTACAGGCCACCTTGCACCCAGTCTCTCACGATCGGTATTCTTCCTCACAGGTGCCCACAGTTTCTCAAATGGAAACTATTCACTTCTTTTTTCAATTTTTTTTAACGTTTCTTTATTTTGAGAGAGATCGGAGTGGGGGGGAGGGGCAGAGAGAGAGGGAGACACAGAACCGGACGCAGGCTCCAAGGCTCTGAGCTGTCGGCACAGGACTCAAAACTCACGCACCGTGAGATCGTGACCTGAACCGAAGTCAGACGCTCAACCAACTGAGCCACCCAGGTGCCCCAGAAACTGTTCGCTTCGTAAAGACAGCTGACAGCTGTTCCTGCCTTAAAGAAGTATTTGCCACCATGAGATCCGTGGAACTCTGAAAACACTGTGAATAGGGAAAGACAAATAGGTTTAAGACAAGCTCTTGGAGGGGCAACTGGGTGGCTCGGTCGGTTAAGCGTCCAACTTCAGCTCCGGTCATGTTCTCAAGGTTCACGGGTTCAAACCCGCGTTGGGTTCTGTGCTGACAGCTCAGAGCCTGGAGCCTGCTTCGGATTCTGTGTCCCCCTCCCTCTCTCCCCCTCTCTGCCCCTCCCCTGCTCATGCCCCGTCTCCCTCTGTCTCTCAATAATAAATAAACGTTAAGAAGTTAAAAAAAAAAAAAAAAGACAAGCTCTTGGAAATGTATAAGGCAGAGTCATATATTAAAGGCCCTGAGAAGTCCTGCAGGAAAGAACCCCATCCAACAGCCTAACCCCGCCTTCCCTACCTTGTATTTGGCCTTAAAACTCCCTGTTTTCACAAACAATACCAATTACCACCTCACGGAACCAGTGTTCTTCGAAGGATAGCTTGAGAAAATACCGTCCTACCAGAGACATTCACTGCCATGCCAGCTCAGCCGCATGATTCACCATCTTCCTCAACCAATTACCAATTAGCCATGCTCATGGCTCCTTCCGAGGCGAACACGTACTCATTTTGTCGAGTTAAACACGAAGCCCCTTCAGAACAGAAGGTATGTTCCCCGATGTTTCGATCTGAAGAACTTTTCCTAATAACTTCAAGACCCAGCTCAAACGTTAGCACTGCTCTCAAGTTCTCCTCAAGCCACTCCTCCGTGCTGCTCCGCTGTGGGCCATCATTCTAACATCTCACGCATTTGTTCACAGGCTCCCCTTCCCAACGAGGTTATTAGGCCCTTTTATATTTGCATCTGGAGTACCTAGCGTATGGCAGCAACTCACCCAATGTCGATTGCAGGTCCATTTCGTCGTATTCTCATTCAGTACCTTAGAGATGGCAGGTGTGGATGCATATGTGTTACAAAATTTCTCATGACCGGTCAAATCGACTTGCAAGAACATGCAGCTGTAGGGGGTGACAGCTGAGATAAAGGGCTGTTATCTCCCCCGGGAGAGGTACCAAAGGCCCCGCTCTAACTCAAGAGGCTAGATTCTGTCATCTAATCGACCTAGCGGTAGGCTTATTCCTCCCCACCCCCAACCTCATCAGCACCTCCCTGGGAGGGGACGGTCGTCTCCAAAAGAGGAAGCCATATACTTGTCAGCCCCAGATACAACTCATCAGTGGAAGGCACTAGTGTGCACAAGGCACAATGTTGGACGCCCAAGGAGTCCACGCCCTCGCCCGGAAGTATATGGTACCCAATGAGGTATCCCAAGAGGAATGGCAGCTTCCTTACTACTCACTGCAGGACACAATCCACTGAGAAACAGTCTAGCTCTCCTTGGCTCTGAGGAAGTTAATTTCCAAAGAGTTGCATCGAATCCTTTTCGAGGATGCGGCGGACCTGTCAGAGGAGGATAAATGAGGCAGCATTTAAAACCATTTAACACCTTGCTCGGCACTCTCAATAAGAGTGTATCACATTTGATTCTGCTGCTCCTGGATTTTACAGTTTATAGAAATAAAAAGAGAAACCACTTACATGAAATTAATAACCAGCTCAAAAATCAGTTACTCAGTGTATTTTGGACAGATCTATTTGTCTCTGCCATTCTCCATGTTAAATGAAAATTAAAACACACTCTTTAAAAACAAACAAACAAAAAAGCCCTCCTAATTCAGCAGAACAGCATTCAGCAGTATGCATCCGAAGCCACTAAAATGTGCTGACTCAATTTATTGTCCAAAGTTTAGCAATTTGAGACCACAATGTCTTTAAGATAAGGTCTGGATACAACCCGTGCATGGATGGTCTGGTTCCGTCACAGGAGAGTTAGAAACTCTCGTTGGAATCTAGCAGAACATAAATGTTTCTTTCGTAAGGTTGGGACCTTTCAAATTATTTCCCATTATTTTGTGAGGGAGTCAGATGCATGAAGCAATTTAAACAAGCCAGGCAGGGAACAAGCCACAGCCTGCACTGGGGATTGGACGAAGTCACACACAAAGAAGACTTGAGCCGTCGGGGGGTCCGGGCCCCAGCTCTTAGGAGCATGCATGTTCCCAGGGTTGGAGTTAATGAGGCCATTGGTTCCCTCCTTCTCCTTTCCAGAGATTATCATGATCAATTTGCATGATGATTATGGAAAAAAATTAAAACACTATTCCCAAAGATCAAGTTAATAAAGGCCTTTGAGACACAGAGCTTCCTGGAGGAGAAAGCTATCTTTTTCTCTGAAAGAAGGAACAGCACTTAAGATGAGCTCCAGTCTAGCTCAGTGAAGCGATGGTGAATTCCTACCCCCCTCCCTATTTTTTTTTTTAATTCATAGCCTCTTACACCTCGATTAGACCTCTCTCCCTTAAGAGCATGTAACGAATTTAATACAAATTCAGATGGAAATAAAAAGAGCAGGGAGAGGGGGGGACTGGAATAAAGACAAGAAAAGAATATGAATCGGAGGAATTCTCTTGTGGTTGAAAAGCCGTTTGCTAGGGCGCCTGGGTGGCTCAGTCGGTTGAGTGCCCGACCTCAGCTCAGGTCACGATCTCGCGGTCTGTGAGTTCGAGCCCCGTGTCAGGCTCTGTTGCTGACAGCTCAGAGCCTGGAGCCTGCTTCGGAGTCTGTGTCTCCCTCTCTCTCTCTGCCCCTTCCTCGCTCATGCTCTGTCTTTCTCTCTCTCTGTCAAAAATAAATAAACCTTAAAAAAAAAATGAAAACAATAAAAACCATTTTGCTCCTTCTTTCAGTGACAGATCCTACATTTCCTAGATTCAAACTAAAAAAATCATTTCTCCTTTACGCCTAAGAGAGAGACATCTACGGTGACTCCTCTCTCCATAGGAGCCACAAAACTGTCCTTACTGCCTCGCTTAACGGCAAGAGTCTCACATACAGAGCGATTCCTTCTTCAGTTCAGTTCTTACCCTGTTCCTGTCTCTTACGTGAGACAAGATCCTGCTTTTCCCTTCGAGGGAGGTTTGCCTTTTCTGTTCCGTAGAGAAAGCCTTTAACCACCTTGGCAGCCGGCTCAGAGGATGACAACGAATGAAACCAGTCGGCTCCCACTTCCCCTCTGACAGAATCTCTTGTTTGTAGGCAGTCGTGGTGAAAAGCCCAGGTGATGATGGGTAAAACCTAGCCAACGCACAAGATCGGCTTTCTTAACCTTGTTCTTTGTGGTATCGCTACAGGACAGAGTGGGCGATAAAACAGGACTGTATAAAAACGCAAAACAGAAGTCTGTGCAGCCCTTCCGTCCACTGTGCGTTTTACATTTAGCATCCGACCTATCTTTATCGAATTTGCAACAAGAAAAGTAGTAAAGCCAACAAACACTCTATGTCACAACTAACTTTCCCGGCAAGTCATCTCCGTGTCTCTATTTCGTCCCCCTTACCTCACGGTGGGGAATCCCCTGGGTATAAAGACATTCATACCCTTTCTCAATAATTTGTGTTACTGTTGATCCAGGCTTTTCCCTAACCCGTGCTACTGTTGACTCCCCATCGTTCATGGTCACCGAGAAGCCACCTGTCACAGTTTATGTCCAGCAAACCCAGAAGGAAGGAAATACAGTAAAATCTTGGTTTGTGGGCACAATTCATTCTGGAAACATGCTTGTAATCCAAAGCACTTGCATATCAAAGCAAATTTCAAGGGCCATTGGCTCGGTTGTGATCACGTGACCTTCGGTGTCAGGTCCTACTAGTATTGGGAGACGTTGCTTGTTTATCAAGATAAAATTCATTAGAAAGATTTGCCCATCTTGCAGAACACTCCCAGAACAAGTTACTCGCAATCCAAGGTTTTACTCTACTCTTTTCTCAGCACAGAATCTGACGAAGAAACACTCTGAAGAAAAAAGGATACTCTTGGAGTGGCTTTTTTACATTTTATCTATAATTTATCCATTATGTCTTGCCAATGACTGAAGTCACGTCTTTGAAAATTGAAGGCTGTCATTCTAGGACAGCTGTGGCCGTAATAAATCGATTCGAGAACACTCACCCAGGATGCACGTTGTGCCCAGCACTGTGTGAAGTGAGATCCAGCTTCCACCAAGCCCAACACCCGGTGCTGGATCCACCCACCTGGAGGAAAGAAGGCCTTTTGGTCATCCCTCTGTCTCAAGGGGCACCTTCTCCTGATAATCATATTTGATTCAGGGAGCTCAGGGCTCGGGGATATAGAAAGCTTGTGACCTGATGACGCTAATTTAGTAGCAGATGATACAAATTACCCAAAAAGCAGTCTTTATGGATAAAAGGTAAACAGTGGAGAGGCCATTGCTTCCCCTTTATAGTTTCTATATCTAGTCTTTGGGGCAAGCATAAAGACGCTGTCGTGTTCAATCCTCTTAATTCTATGGGGCTTGCCTTCCGGTGAGTCAACTCATCCCCAACCACCCAGCAGCTAATATGTGACCCTGAGATCTCGTTTCTCCCCAAGGAAGAAGGACCCAGAAGAAGGAAAGGTGGGAGGTCTCTGATTGGAACGTGTGGTATTTAGCACTAATCTCTAAGGCCGGGCACAACTCTTGGCACATGGTGGACTCTCGAGATCTTTGTTGAACTGAACTCAGGAGGGAAGGCTGGAGAACCAAGATTTTTTGAGCAGGTCTGGAAGGCGCCTAGAGGATCGCGTGTGAGGAGGTGATCGCTCTTGGGGTGGCCTCTTTCATATCGCTATAGTGCCCACCCTGCCCCCCCGCCCACTACTCACTGCCCCAACATCACTCCAAGGGATCGGGGACTTTTGTTCCCAAGCGTCACCAACAGGCGGGGAAGTTCAGACTCCTTCCTGAAGTCTCCCCTCTCGCCTGCCAGTTGGCCTTTCTTCCAGTTCACGTACCTGCGCGAGGAGACGGGAAACCCCTTGAGGAAAGCTTCCCATCCATCTTCCTGGTGGTCTTTCATGTCTTTGCCAATAAGACGATCTGCTTCACGACACACTTCGATATATTTGACATCTGTCATAAAACCCGGGTCAGGCATATCTGTCTTCTGTTAATATAAGCCACTCTACAGAGGCACTTCCTCTGCTGTTAAGGCCCCGCCAGAAATAATTATTGACACATTGTCCGCCCATCCAGCCAACCCTCTTAATAGGAGCCATAACTTATGGGTCCTGGGTTCCCCCACTCCTCCAGAGAAACCAGGTAACACTTAGGGGACCAGAAGGAGACGCCATGATATTAAAACATGAAGGGAAAGCTATAGCTGAAGCAACTGACTTGAAATGAACACCTTCCTGTAACATCTTTCAAAAGTTAGTGACTGTGGCGATGCACAGCTGTTTCTTTGTGAGGAGGCATAAATTTTCTTCAAAACACTTTACCCAGATGACACCGATGTTCAGGCAACGCAGAAGGAAGCTGATCCGAGTTTTCCGAATGACGGTGATTCCTCTTTAGACTTCACGTGGCTCAGCCTTTGGGAGGGTTCCTTACTGGGGACGATTCTGGACAGTTGGACGGTCAGTGCATCCTGTGAACGTGAGAGCATTTGCTTCTCGCTGCTCCCTTGACAGGCACCCATGGAAAGGGTGGCTCTCAGCTTCCCCCAAAGACCTGCCAGTTGGAAACCTTGTCTCGAGATTGTTAAAATCACTCCTACGCTCAAATGCATTATAGCCCTTTGAGCCTGTGAGGGCCAAGTGCATACAGCAAATTATATAACACAAATTATATAAGAGAGTGTGGGCATCTATACCTCTCCCTGCTGATCAGGAAGGACGAATAGAGATGACTTTTATGAAGGAAAAAGGACTTTTTTTAAAGTTTACCTATGTATTTTGAGAGAGGCAGAGAGAGCATGAGCTAGGGGAGGGGCAGAAAGGGAGAGAGAGAGAGAAAGAATCCCAAGCTGACTCTGCAGCTCAGAGCTTGACACGGGGCTCAAACTCACAGGCCGTGAGATCATGACCTGAGCCCAAATCAGGAGTTGGACGTTTAACCGACCGAACCACCCAGGCGCTCCAGTAAAAAAGGACTTTAGAAACGCTTGTGCTAACTTCCTGTGTGTTTTGTTGGAGTAAGGAAGGGGGACCCCTTTTTGAAGATGGCTGCAAACGTTTCCTCATGGAAATAATTGCCAGGGAAGTGACATTTTAGCAGTTCCGATATAGCAGGCAGGACAGAACACGTTCCTCGTAACAAATGTTCTACTAGGCGAAAGTAAAACATTTGTTGGAATGGATTTGGGTCAGCTTGACCACGTGAGCAACCCAAATGGCTCTTCGGTGGGCACACAGGGCGGGGGTGTCCGGGAAGGGAGGGGTTGATGCATAACAAAACAATGCAAAGATTAAAACTAGAAGATTAAAACTATTTGGGCCACTAGGGTAAAGAGACTAAGAAAATATCCCAGGATCCATGGTAAGAAAGTTTGTTGTCCCCGCAGACCCAGACAGGGCTTTTAAGAACAGAGGAAATGAAGGGCTCTTGGGTGGATCAGTTGGTTAAGCATCCAACTTTGGCTCAGGTCATGATCTCACGGTTTGTGAGCTTGAGCCCCGCATCAGGCTCTCAGCTGTCAGTACAGAGCCCACTTTGGATCCTCTGTCTCACTCTTTCTCTGCCCCTTCCCCACTCATGCTCTCTCTCTCTCTCTCTCTCTCTCTCTCTCTCTCTGTCAAAAATAAACCTGGGGCGCCTGGGTGGCTCAGTCGGTTAAGCATCTGACTCCAGCTCAGGTCATGATCTTGTAGTCCGGGAGTTCGAGCCCTGCGTCGGGCTCTGTGCTGAGAGCTCAGAGCCTGGAGCCTGCTTCGGATTCTGTGTCTTCCTGTCTCTCTCTCTCTCTGTCTCTGCCCCTCCCCTGCTCATGCTCTGTCTCTCTCTGTCTCAAAAACAAATAAGCATTTTTAAAAAATTAGAAATATTAACATAAAAAACTAAATGTTAAAAAAAAATTAAAAAGTAAAAACAAGAGCAGAGAAAAATGCCCAAGTATCGAATAGTGGACACAAGAAAGTAATAGTTCTTGCTGGCAACGTACTTTCGGGGTCCTTTTTTTCACCCCACGCTTGTAGAGGTGCCAGACAATTTTGTTTGCACACACATAACCTGACTGCTCCATGCTAAAATGGGAAATAGACTGTCCTGTTCAAACTGGAATAAATTGTTGAAAGAAGCATAAGGGTTTAAGTGTCTTCTTCAGGATCAGGAAATCATCTATCATTGGGACTTTGAGTCAGAGCATTGTAAAGAAGAAACTTGTTCTGTACGTTTATGCTGCTAAACTAGGAAGAAAGACTGCCGTTGAAAGAGATGTTTTAGCAGTATCTGGACGAGAGATTAACTCTGCAGGAGGCAGAGGAAATCGCCAATTTCCCCTTTGTCCACCCCACTCAACTCAAACCACCCCGAGCTGTCAGTGGACCTGAAATCGGAGGAAGCAGCTAATTGGATGACCAGTAACAACACCGACGCTGAAGGATGTTAAGATAAGGGTAACGTGACTGATGTTTCCAACTATGAGCAGGTCCGTCGCCGAAATCGAAAAACACCAGCAATGCCAACGGACCCCCAAAACGATCGGTCTTTAGTGTCCCACGCCACAAATGTCCAAAGCAGAGTGCGGTTTATCCTCTGCCGAGCGGATGCCCACGTCCACACCAAAGTCGGAACAAACGCTCCTTCCCCAGGGTTTGTGCCAGACAAGCGGGTCCGGCGCTGGCCGGGACTCCCCAGCTTTTCCACAGATGAAGGGGCATCCATTTCTGAACTCAGCGAAAGGACCATCACCTGTTAGTTGGTGGCGGGTCGCGGGTCTCACAGGGTGAATGGATGCTGAACACCAGGCATTTCGCGATCTGCAGGGAGTAGGCGCCTCCTACACAAGCCCACCCTCCCTCTCACATGCAAAGTACCTCAACGAGATGCCTGCGCCTGTCCGGTGCCAGTGATAACAGAAGTCAGGCCAGGAAGGTTTTTCATTCTACGCTGGCAGCCCCAATAGGGGATCGACGTCCCACGGAACATTAAGTGCCTTGCGCATCAAGGCCTTGGCAGGTCGCTTGCCTTGGCGGTTGGGGAGGGGGCCCATTCCCACCGAGTGCCGTCTACACACACGTGGCAGATGTGCTGGGGAAGAACTCCCCCACCTCCTTGCCAGATTCTGACGCGGTGCCCGATGCCCGCGCTTGGAGGGAATTGGTGGCACTTTTCGTACGACCGCACGTAAGACAGCGGGTTGTTTCTCCCTGAGAAATGGCTCGCCTCCGGTACGTAGGCGAACAGCTGGGTTCTGATCCCAAGGACTGTTCTGGAAGCTGCTGCCCGTGTCCTAGGAATGAAACAACCTCCCGCCCACACATGACGACTTCTCTTGTCCCGGCGGTCCGGCTTCCGCACAAAGGTCTGTTGTACAAAACCCTGGCGTGCCCCTTTCTCACTTCTGCAAGTGTGACCCCCTTTCCATCCTGTGCAGCATGGGAAGCAAGTGACACGTGTTCAGGTTTTATGCTAACATAAAACCTGTGGGCCTCGTCATGCCCACATTTAAATGTGCCAAGACCGCGCATTTCGACGGTGCAGTCTTCACTTCCCGACGCCGAAATCTGTGCCTGTCGGTGAGAGAGGACTGGATGCTATCACCCCGATGGCTGATGATTGATGATAATATTTCTACATCCATCGCTAAGCCTCTTAAGTTTCTTCTTCACTTTGGGAGTACTTAGCATCTCAGCCTCGCTCAGCCAGGCGCTCCATAAATGCACCTTTATAAACCTCTCAGGGGTAAACTGGGTCAGTTGATGTTGTTTCAGAACATCTGGAAAAGAGTCATCAGGGCGGGGAGGTCTGTAAAAGCTCTTTGTGCTCAGGCTCAGGGGATGGAATGAAAACACGGATGTGACACATACCAAATGATTCTAAAACATCCACTTGTTTGTAAGGGCCCCAGCTACGCGCTATCTGCTTTTGCTTCACATAGGAGGGGTTCGGCAAGGACACGGAGTTCAGATTATGTGTGATTCCTCCCACACAGGCGTAAAAATCCCTTCTCTGGCATTTCTTAGGCGAGCGTTTAAGTTTCTATTTGTTTATTTTGAAAGAGAGAGAGAGAGAGAGAGAGAGAAAGCCAGGGAGGGGCAGAGAGGGAGGGAGAGAGAATCCCAAGCAGGTTCCCCACTGTCAGCGCAGAGCCCGACGCGGGGCTCGAACTCATGAACCGTGAGATCATGACCTGAGCCGAAATCAAGGATGCTTAACTGACTGAGCCGCCCAGGCGCCCCTGCAGTGTTTCCTTATAGGGAGGGAGATTCAGGCATTTCAGGGAAGGAAAAAGTCGTTCCTTAAGCATCTTGAATTCCAAGCGGGGGAATTTCTTAAGTGATGGAGGGATGCGTTTTATGGTTCTCACTTCCCTTAAGATATTAATTAAGAAAACACATAAGAGCTTCTCCTTAAGGGGCGCGCTGAGAGTTAAGCTTAGCTGGCCCTCTGCACTAGCCATATTGCACTGTCCTCCTCGATTAGCCCGGGTGCCAGGCTGTTCCTTCAAATTAAGACAATATGCTTGTAGTGATGAACCAATAGTCTTGACCATCCATCTTCCTCTTGTGATGTGGCTCTCGTCGAGCTGAAATGAAGCCACTTCTTCTGCCTGTGGCTGATTAAACAGAGTAAATCCGCATCTCTAAGGAGGCTCTGATGATTCTCCACAGAGCCCAGGTCAGGCCAGCCCGCACCTGCCGGCCCCAGCTCAGCTGCTCCCATCATAAAACGGAGCATCGGTGTCAGCGACGTGGTAGGTTTCTTTCATCCGGTGCATCGCTCCGGCCAGACCGAATGAAGCTTGCTGGGGACACGAGGTGCCTGTCGCGCCACAGGTAACACACGGTCCCCAGGGAAGGCTTGTCCTCCTCAAGAGTGAAAAGCCCACCACTCTGGGCAAAAACCTGTGCCTTTGCTAGAAGTCTCCGCGGCTTACACCCTGCGGTCTTCTTTTAATAAAAACGGGTCAGGAGACATCAAGGGAAATCTTTAAAATATTCATCCACTCATTTCTTCTTCTTCTTCTTTTAATGTTTATTTATTTCGTAGAGAGAGACAGAGAGACCGTGAGAGTGAGGGGGAGGGCCAGAGAGAGACAGAGACACAGAATCGGAAGCAGGCTCCAGGCTCTGAGCTGTCAGCACAGAGCCCGATGTGGGGCTCGAACCCACAAACCCCCAGATCATGACCTGAACGGAAGCCGGACGCTTAACCGACTGAGCCACCCAGGTGCCCCTATTCTTTTTTTTTTTTTCATTCATTCAGTGAAAGCTTGTCGAGCACCTGCTGTGAATGAGCCCCATGCCAGGAACTGGGATTTGGACACGAACACAGGGTCAATGCCGCCCCTGCCCTCCTGGAGGTCACATCCCAGTGACAAGACGGATTCATGATGAATGAAGTACTTACCACTGTGAGCGGTACCCCAAAGAAGAAGGAGCACCGGGGGTAGATAAGGAGGGGACTGATGTTTTCTAGGCTTCAGGG